CCGATCGATGATTCACTCTCATCATTGATGTTTCTATCACTCTCCCTCTCTCTTCCTCTCTGAAATCAAGAAAAACATATTTTTTTAAAAAGTTGTCAGAACTGTGGATGCCAATAATTTGCAAACAAGTATTATTTAAGTGCCTCCTGTGTTCCCTGATCTGGGCTGAATGCTAAAAAAAAAAACAGTGAATATCACAGACATATCCCCTCTGCTTATACAGACCAGTGTTTAGCAACAAAATCAGAAAAATAATAATAATTAAAAACATTGACAGATATGCAAGTCCTAGCAGAAGACAAGTCTGGTTATTTATTAGTAAATATCAGGGCTTCAGAGAATTGGATTTACATTCATGGTTTAAGATTGGATTTTGGATATCATGTGAGATTTGGACTCAACATTGAGGTCTCAGTGGGGAAAAGTTTGGCTGTGGGAACCAAAAATATCTTCGAACCAGAATGAGATATGACATGAGATAAGGGGGCTCCACGGGCCATTAACTCGCCAGCTCAGTGACCACATCAGAGATCCTATCTATGACATTGTCTACTGGCCACTTCCCTCCATAGGTCCAAGAGAGCTGTGTCACTTCCTAATTTTACATCCATAAGGGACGCCATCTAACAGAGCGAAGGAGAACTCTTCTCACGTCTTGCTTTGGCAAGAAGAAAGCTGTTCCCAGGAGTGGCCCAATGGTCTTCCCCTCACTCCTCATTGGCTAGAACTGCACCACGTGTCCATTTCTTAACTATCCCTGAACAGCAGACATGGGCCCCCATGCTCGGTGCAGTCAAGCTCATTTGTGGTCACAGGAGCACAGCAGGCTATCCCCAACCTAAATCAAGGTTCTGACAGAATGGCAGGGGGAGTGCATGTTGGGTAGGCAGCAACAATGTCTATGATGAGTCAAATTATGGGATCGAGGTAGAATTGGGTTAGGGGTCAGGATTGAGATGAGATGTGAGCTCAGAATGGGAAATAAGTTATAATTTGGCGTCTGACTTAGAAGTGAGGTTCAATCCCACTAACAGAAATTGGCTCTCTAGGAGTCATCTGGCAATGGCTCCCATCTCGCTCAAAGTAGAGCCAACGTCCTACCTTGGTCCTCAATCCCTGTGATGGCCAAGTCCTGTGATGTCTCTGACCTCATTGTCCACCCTTCTCCCTTTGACTCATTCAGACACAGTAAAAAAAAAACTTATCTGCTAGAACATTCTAGGTCACCCCTTCCCTTCTCACCTGACTGTTCTCTCTCTTGGGGATGGCTAATCCCAAGTAGCTACATGATTCATCCACCACCTCCTTCAAGATTTTGTTCAACGGTCCTCTTCACGTGGGGTCTTTCCAATGGTTTTATCTCACACTATAACCCCAGAGGTTTTTCCTCCTGAGAGGAAAGAGAACCAATAATGTCCTATCTATCCTTCTGGTCTTATATTTTCTTCATAACACTTACCTCCACCAGTGCCCATATACAAACGTTCACTCAAAATGGATCAAAGACCTAAATAGAAGACCTGACACAATAAATTACATAGAAGGAAACATAGGTAATAAAGTTATGAACCTGGGTATTAGATAAGATTTTATTAATTTGACCCCAAAGGCAAGGAAAGTAAAGGCAAAAAAATAAATGAATGGGACCATATCAAATTGAAAGGCTTCTGCACAGCCAAAGAAACCACCAACAAAACAAAAAGGCAACCAACCAAATGGGAGAAGATATTTGCAAATGACAGGTCCAACGAGGGGTTGATATCCAAAATGTATAAAAATCTCATACAACTCAACACCAAACAAACACACAATCTAATTAAAAATGTCAGCCCTAGCTGGTTTGGCTCAGTGGATAGAGTGTTGGCCTGTGGACGGAAGGATCCCAGGTTCGATTCTGGCCAAGGGCATATGCCTGGGTTGGGGGCTCTGTCCCCTGGATGTGCTGGAGGCAGCCCACCAATGATTCTCTCTCATCATTGATGTTTCTATCTCTCTCCCTCTCTCTTCCTCTCTGAAATCAATAAAAATGTATTTTTTTTAAATGTCAGAGGACCTGAAAAAGCACTTCTCCCAGTAAGACATACAAATGGCCAACAGATGTATGAAAAGATGCTCAACGTTGCTAGCTATTACGGAAATGCAAATCACAACTACCAGGAGATACCACCTCACACCTATTGGAATGGCTATTATCAACAAGACAAGTAGTAATAAGTGTTGGAGAGATTGTGGAGAAAAAGGGACCCTCATTCACTGTTGGTGGGGATGTAAACTGGGACTCTGAAAACAGGATGGAGGTTTCTCGAAAATGTACGAATAGTTACCATATGACCCATCACCCCCTCTTCTGGGTATCTATTCAAACATTTTGAAAACATTTATTTGCAAAGACATATGCACCCCTATGTTCCTTGCAGCATAATTCATGGTGGCGAAGAAATGGAAACAACTGAAGTGTCCTTCAATAGATGACTGGATAAAGAAGATGTGGTACTTGTATATAACTAGAGGCCCAGTGCACAAAATTGGTGCACAGGGGCGTGGGGGGGGGTGGGGGTTGTTCCTCAGCCCAGCATGCACCCTCTCGAAATCCGGGACCCCTTGGGAAGTGTCTGACTGCCGGTTTAGGCCCGATCCCACATCCCTCCCTCCAATCCAGGACTGCTGGCCCCTAACCACTCACCTGCCTGCCTGATGACCCCTAACTGCTTGCTAGCCTGCCTGATCACCCCTAACCACTCTGCCTGCCTGATCGCCCCTAACCGCCTCTGCCTCAGTCCCCACCGCCGCCGCAGCTTCATTCGGAAGGACATCTGGAAGGTCGTTCGGCTGTCTGGTCTAATTAGCATATTACGCTTTTATTATTATAGATGTAATACTACTCAGCCATAAGAAAAGATGAAATACTGTCATTTATGACAACATGGAATATCATGCTAAGCAAAATAAGTCTAACAGAAAAAGTCAAGAACCATGTGATTTCACTTTCTAGGTGGGATATAAAATTGAAAACAACAAAAAAACAAACAAGCAAAAACTCATAGACACGGACAACAGTATGGCGGCTACCATTGGGAAGGGGGTTAAGGGGGAGCAAAGGGTATATATTTGACCCTTTAGAAGATCAAATATATGGTGATGGGAGATGATTTGACTCCGGGTGGTGGGCACACAAGGCAACATACAGCTCACGCATCGTAGAAATGTACACTTGAAACCTACCCAGGGTGGGGCGAATGTCGGTTTATAGTTGTGAGCACAGGGAATACAATTTGTTCTTGTACTATCATTTATTCATTATTGTATGATTTTCCATACGAACAATGGTAAAGCCTACTTCTCTCCCATGCTGTATAAACGTATTGACCAATGTCATCCCCATAAACTTAATAAAAATAAAAAAACAGACTATGTATTTTAAGCTTTTATTTTGCTAATCAAGGTCTCCTCCGCCCAACGGAACAAGAGGCTCTGTGAGGGAATTTCTGTTTTGCTGATGCTGTGTCCCCAGAGGCCGGGATAGTTTCTGGCTCAGAGTCAATGCACAGTGGATATTTTTTTTTAATGAATGCGATGAATGCGATGAGCAAAGGTAAGATGATACAAAGACATTCATCCGATTTTATGAAAATGAAAACTATTCCAATGTGCTTCAATGTGAAGCGGAATGATTCTGCAGTGAGAAATAGTATGCGACCATATAAAGAAAGCAGAAATAAATGCAGTCGGCGGGGAACATGTCCAGGGTCTTTTACAGAGTGAAATAAAAGTCTACGTTAGGCAATACAAGGTACAGATATTTTTGTTAACAAATGCATAGTAGGGATAGAAATCGGTGTGTAATATCAGGCGCAGACCAAGCGATGGCAGTAGGCATTTAGTGGGGTGGGGTTGGGAGAGCCCGCCCTCTCTCATTGGTACCCCTATATTAGGGGTGGCGCTGGGTTCAGGCTCAAAGACACGTCTGGGATTCTGCCTAGACCAGTTCCCCCAGGCGGATCAGAGTCAGGGTGTAGGGTCGAGGCCTCGGCTGAGAGGGGGCGAGGGCAGGAACAATGGTCGCACACAGTCCATTCCTGAGCCGTGCAGCTCCTGCCCCTCCGCAGGCCTACACCTGGCCCCTCCCTGGGGAGCTGCCACCAGGCCCAGAATGTGCGGGGGTGAACCGGCTGGGTACCGCCCCCACGCAGCCTCGGGAGGGAGGGTGGAGACGGTGCAGGCCTATTGCTTTAGCTGCCTCAGGGGTTCCAGATGACCGCAAATTCAGGAAGGGGGCGTCTCAGAGCTGGCTCCACCTGCACCCGAGGAACCTGGGTGCGGGGCGGAGGCGGGAGTGGGGGCGGCGGTGCTATAAGAGGGCCGCCCTGCGCAGGGCTAGACAGGCTTGGCTCCCAACCTCCTCTGGAGCCCAGATCAGATCAGATCAGATCCACCGGCAGGTGAGAAGGGGCCTTTCGGGGCAGGAGGTGAGGCTGGCGGGACGGCTGACTCCTACTCCTGGGGGAGGGGCCCAGGAGGGTTCTGGAGTCCTGGTTCTGAGAGATGAGAAGGTGGAGGTGGAATTTTGAGTCTCTTAGAGAAAAGGAACAGGGGGCACAGGCTTATGCACGGGGAGGGGTGGGAGGCCAGATTCCTAGGTCCCCAGAGGAAGGGATTCTGGGGGCCTAAAACCCGAGCTGGAGGGAAGATGTGGCAGGAGGGCAAGGTTTTTGGGTCCAAGGCAGGAAAGGAGGCTGAGGGACAAGGATTCTAGGCCTGAGGGGGGAGAGGGATTCAGACTGGGGCTCCTGGGTCTGAGGGAGGAGGTGGGTGCAGACTGGGGCTCCTGGGTCTGAGGGAGGAGGTGGGTGCAGACTGGGGCTCCTGGGTCTGAGGGAGGAGGTGGGTGGAGATTAAGGTTCCTGGGTCTGAGGGAGGAGGTGAGTAGAGACCAGGGCTCCTGGGTCTGAGGGAAGAGAAGGGACCTGGAGACCAGGAGTCCTGCTTCCTGAACTCTCTGTCTTTCCAGCCCCAGCACAGGAGGCCCTTCCTCTGTGGCAGCCACAGAGGCTCAGACAGGACACATGGCAGGTCCCCGGCTCCAGCCCCTGCTGCTCCTACTGCTGTCCTTCGCCCTGGGATCTGCTAGACAAGCAGGTGAGGACCAGCCTGGGAGTCCTGCCCCTGCCCCTGGGCCTCACAGTCCCCCACCTCCCCTCTCCAGGCCCCCTCTCTCCAAGGAGCCCCTGAGTCAGGACCCTCCCCTGCAGCAGCCTCCTCCCATGGAGACATGGCCCCTGGGCTGTGGCTCCTTTCTTCCTGCTCCCTCCTGACTCCTGGGCTCTGGGCGCCCTCCAGGCTGCTTCCCGCCCTCAGTGTCTCCCTCATCAGACGCTGTGGCTGCCTCCAGACCAGCTGCTGCCCTGGGCTTCTGAGCAGGCTCCCTCCGTCTCTCTCCATCTCCGTCTGCAGCTGTCTCTGCCCTGGGCTCCGTGTCTGCCTCTGCCCTTCTCCACGCCTCTCTGTCCGTCCCTGCACATCCCCCGGTGACGCCTCAGCTTGGCCCGGAGGCGTGCTACCCATGTGCTCCCCACATTTCTCTCCAGAAAAGAATACGGCGGACCGGATTATCGATGGAGTTCCATGTCCAAGAGGCTCCCACCCCTATCAGGTGGCCCTGCTCAAAGGCAATCAGCTGCACTGTGGGGGCGTCCTGGTGAACGAGGAGTGGGTGGTCACCGCCGCCCACTGCCAGATGAGGTGCGTGGCAGGGAGTCCCCAAGGCTCCCCCTGGGTCTCTGCCCCCTCCCCCTGGGTCCCTGTCCCCTTATCTCTGCACCCCTGCTCCTCTCTCTCCGGGCCCCATCCCCCTCTCTCGGGGGCGGGGCCTCTCTCTGAATGTCTCTCTCTCCTCCCAGCGACTACAACGTGTACATGGGCAGTTTTCGGCTCAACAGCAGGAAAGGCCAGAAGATCAAGGCCACGGAGTCCTTCGTCCACCCCCAATACTCCACACAGACCCACGAGAATGACATCATGCTGGTGAAGCTGAGCGACTCCGCCAAGCTGACGTCAGCCGTGAGGAAAGTCAACCTGCCCACCCAGTGCGATCCGGCCGGGACCCCGTGCACCGTTTCCGGCTGGGGCACCATGACCAGCCCCGACGGTGAGGCTGCTCGGCGACCTAAGAGCACTGGCCATCCGCCCCTCTGCCCTCAGACCCAGGAGGATAGGTCCTAGGTCCTTGTCTTCCCCCCGCAACACCCCACCCCCCACGCCGCCAACCCGCCAACCCAGGAGGCCAGAAGGCATGGCCCCTTGTCACGTCAATAGTACTGAGCCCTACAGCCCCTGGTTAGTTCAAGGTGCAGGGCCCACATCTTCTCCCATGATCACCCGAGGCGCTCCAGGCCCACCCCTCTGACTGGCCTATACTGCCCACCTCCTCAACAGTGACCTTCCCGTCGGAGCTCATGTGCACGAACATCAGGCTCATCACCCCCCAGAACTGCAAGAGGATTTACAAGGACCTGCTGGGAAAATCCATGGTGTGTGCCGGCGAACCCAACTCGAAGACCAACGCCTGCAATGTGAGGACCCCCCCCCTCCCCACTCCCTCCGTGGCCCTGCTTCCTCCCAGCCCAGAGTCTGGGGGCCCCACCCCGGTGCCCAACCACCTCTAGCACACTTCACCATCCTGCTCTCCTGGCTCTCTCGACCCACTTCTCTGCATAGGGCTTGAGCTGGAGCCCATGGGCTGGGGTGGGCCCTGGGGCTGGGCACAAAATTGAAGGGAACGGACTGACGGTGAGAGAATGGGGGGTGAGACGTGGGCAAGGGGAGTGAGGCACACTGGCTTCAAGCACCAACTTTCGGGGGGCACCAAACACTCAGTGGCCAAGGTGCATCCTATTCTAATGTGATATTTTTTTAACCCTTGCAAAAGTCCTTGATGGGCAAAACTATCAGAATTTTCCATAAAGAACCATGTTTGACTCAATTGTCCATTTGCCTCTCGGCTTCTGTATGGTTCGGCAAAGCATGATACTGTCCTCACGTATCTAAAATTGGGGTAAACTGATTGTCACAGATTTTTTTAAATTCATATTAAATGTGATTCTCAAGGCATTGCACTAAAAATATTGTTTATTGCCATCACTGAGATTTCGTGCCAGAAGCTTCTGTCTCATTCACCTCGCCTGGGTCCTGCCTGGGAAAGGAAGGACCCCCTCCCTCCTCTTTGCTCCCCCTTCTTCGTCTCTGTAACCTCATCTCTGCCTCTGAGAATCAGCTCTCCTTACATTTCATTTCCTTGTTTTCATTTGTGTTCTCTCTATGTTGGGATCTCTCTCTCTCTCTCTCTCTCTCTCTCTCTCTCTCTCATGTTCTGCCTCGGTCAGTCTCTTCATTTCTTCCATCTCTGCCTGTTTCCCCACCCCAAAATGTCTGCTTCTCTATCCCCCTCCTTCTCCCCTACCTCTCTCTCTCTGTTTCACTTTGTCTCTTTGCCTCTTAGTACCTCCACTCTCTTTGCTCATATTTGCTTTCAGAGGCAGGGGGATGTGTGCGTTAGGGAGAGGGGTGACAGCACAGGGCTGTGTGTCCTAAAGAATGGGGGGTCCCCCTTGCCCCCACCGAAGGACTGAGTCAAGAATGTGCAAGGTGTGCGGGGACACAGAGCCCCACGCTGGGGGCAGGCCCGCACTTGCTTTAAACTCTTGTTGCTGTTTTGAAATTCATATCTTTGCTCCAGGTGGTCTTCCTTTTAATTTTGCACTTGACCCTGCAAGTTAGGTCATTGGTTCTGCCCCTGGTTCCCAGAGAGTATCTTGTCCCACATTCCTGGGCAAGGGCCTGGGGGTGGGTTCCCTGGAGACAATCCGCCTTCTTTTAGTGGCTGGGCGAAGAGTCCTTCATGACGGAAGCCCCGCCCCCTTCCCGTGATTGGTCCCATTGTGGCTGGGAGCTCAAGCCAATGTCCTCTGGCAAGATTGCATTAATTCCTGCCCTCCCATTGGTCTACAGAGACACCCAGCCAATGTCCTCTGGCAAGATTGCATTACTTCCTGCTCTCCCATTGGTCCACAGA